AAAAAAAAAAAAAAAGAAAACAACAATAAAACTGAAATCCTAACAAAAAGGGTTGTGAACTTGAAACCAAAATCTTAAAACCTAATTTCACAAAGTTAAATTGATGAAACCCACAAGCCACTGAACCAATTTCCATAACTAAAGCAAAGCACAAGCTGGTGGCATGGTCCTCCCAACTCCTCACAGCCCAAAGCCCCAGCAGACACCCATTACACTTCAGGGAAAATGTCTTACTCTTTGCAGTTTCAGCTTGTTCTTCTCTGTAGAACCTTTGACACACTTCTTGGTTATCTGAAATGAAAGTTATTTACTTTTAAATGTGGCATGTTTCAATCACTTCTTCCCTAGGGACATCATGGTGGAGCCCTTAGGGAGAGGAAAGAAAGGAATGAGGCCACCACTGTGTGTGCAGATGCTGGTTATTGAACACAGGCCTTTGCACTGACTTCTTTTCTTTCTTTTTTTTTGTATTTTAGGGAAGGGTCTACAGGGTGTTCAGGGTCTCACTACTAGATGAGATGTAGTGATCCGCCTGTTTACAGCCTCCCAAGAGCTGGGATTACAGGCGTGCGCCACCATGCCCAGTCTGGATGGGGCCAGCACAGCAGGCCCAGGGATCCAACCCCGGCCCCTGCTTGCAGGCACTTTAATCCTTTATTTTTATTTATTTTTTTCAAAGTTTTATTGATAAACAGATAGCAATGAGACAGTTTCAAATCAAATCGGAAGTACAGTTTCTTTCTTTTTTTTTAAATTATTTATTTATTTTTTTTTATTACATTTATTTATTGTGTGTGTGTGTGGCCAGCTCAGCCCACCAGGGGGCAGGGCTGGCTGGCATGTGGTGCTGGGGGATTGAACGTTGGTCCCTGTGTTTTGCCAAACTTGTTCCAAGTAGGTGCTTTAGACCACTGAGCCATCTCACCAGCCCCGGAAGTACAGTTTCAACAAATAACACACTGCATATATTCTTCTTAGTGGTTAATTGCTGTACAAGACTTTATTTTTATTTATTTGTTTATTTTTTATTTTGACACAGAGTTTCACTAAATTGCCCAGATTGGACTTCCTCCTGCCTCAGCTTCAGAGTGCTGGGATTGGGCTGGGGATATAGGTCAGTGGTACAGTGCCTGCCTGGCAAGCACAAGGTAGTGAGTATGACTTCCAGTACCAAAAAAAAGGGGTGGGGTAGGGAGGGAGCTGAGGAGATAGCTCAGTGTGACTGTGCTAGGCTCAATCCTCAGTACTATTAAAAAAAAAAAAAGTGTTGGGATTACAGGCATGGGCCTCTCAGATCAGTTAGGGATTTGCACAAGGAGTTCCTGGGGCCAGGCAGACCTGTCACGGGCAGACTCCCTCAGGCCAAATCAAGGGGTAGAGAAGAATGGGAAGAGAAGTTAAATCTGGGAAGAAAGAACTGTCTGGGTTTCTGACAGACTGGCAAAGGCAGGAAAAAAGGAGGTCAAAGCTGAGTTGCAGGCAGGGATATAGTTCAGCGGCACAGCGCCTGCCCGCCTGACAAGCATGAGGTCATGAGTTCCATTCCTGGCACAAAAAAAAAAGCGGAGTTGCAAAACCAAAGACATCATCAATATCCCATCAAAGGGTCCCACAGGTCAACAAAACTGTATTCTAGTGACTTCTTTACATTGGAAAGCTGAACCCCAAGAGGAGCCCCTCTGCTTTAAGGAAAGGTGAGCACAGGCCCGAGAAGGCCATCCCCCTGGGTGTTGGCAGGCACCCTGTCACCAAGGAGGTGGGGTGGAGGTCTGAGCCTGTCCTGGGCAGGTGATGACAGTACCCCAGCCTTGGGCAGCCTCTGTCCCTCAGAATGATTCCCCATGCCAACCCAATGGACCTCACCCCACACTGCAGGCCTTGTAGGAGACTAGAGTGAATGGAATGATTGCCCATCTGCTGTTCTGGCCATGTGGCCAGCAAGCTTAGGGTTAACAAGAACTGGCGACCTGAGTTAACAAGACCAACTTTCACACCAGCGCTGCCAAGGGTTTTCTAGTACTAACACACAAACACACACACACAGTCCTTCGTGCTCTGATAAAATGTTATCTTCTTGAAGTAGGACCGAGTGTTTACAGAGTCCGCTCTCCAACGGCATGCAATCCTGGCACAATGGCTACCTGGGGCCAAGGCCTGATCCCAGCTCTTGGGAGGAAGCACCAGTCAGTCTCCCACAGTGCACAGGTCGGGCCTCCCTGTGTCTAGGCATCTAAATTGCTGTACTCGGTCTGCAGGGAGGCTCTCTGAGGTGGGCACTTCTGATTTCCTGAAAGGGCAGGAAGCAGCTGCTAAGGGGCGCTGGGCTTTGCAGGGAGAGAGAAGGCAGCAGGGAGAGAGAAAACCCCAGAGGCCCATCCTAGCTGGAGCGGGAGGAGGCAAAACCAAACACCTCCACTTCCGCCGGCGTAGAGAAGGCTGTGCTCACAGCAGCCCAGGGCTGTGCAGAGAAGCATGTGACAACTGTCACGTCACCAAGGACTGGAAAGACAGCACCTGCAGAACTGCAATACTGCCAGACTGTAAGAGTGTAACGGGGCAGTGACAGAGACACCTGTCCCTCCATCCCAGCACCAAGGGTGTCTAAGGTGCCCTGAGTGACAAGGAGACATTTCTGGGGTATGTCTTAGGTGAGGAAACGCAACAACAGTGTGTGTTACCAGGTGGTCCCTCCTACACTGAGGACAAGGATGACACAAAACACAGTTCAGGAGATCAAAGAGCAGGCTGCTGGAAGCCACCATATTTAAAAGAAAAAGAGGTAGGCAAGGTCTTAAAATGGATGTCAGGAGTCTGCTTTGAAGAAAGGATGTGGAGGGGCTGGTGAGATAGCTCAGTGGTCTAAAGCACCTATTTAGAACAAGCTAAGCTAAGTAAAACACAGGGACCACGGTTCAATCCCCCAGCACCACATGCCAGCCAGCACCGCCCCCTGGTGGGCTGAGCTGCCCCCCCCACACAAATAAATAAATAAATTAAAGAAAAAAAAAAGGATGTGAAGTGCATTGCTGCCTCCTGGCCTAAAGGAGGGCGACACTGAGCTGGATTCTGAAGAGGAGAACACAGGCCAGAGCTGTGATCACAACTTGCAGGAAGATAGAGGACAGGACCATTAGAGAAACAGAAATCTCAGGTTTCTCAGAAGATGAACCAAAAACTGAGACTGAGGCCAAAGCAAATGCATATGAATTCTAGAATTCCCTTAAATATGTGGAACAAATTTCAAGAACTGCACAAAAAAATTCTGAACAGAAAGCTTCAACCTCAAGACTCAGAGGGAGGAGAAAGAGAAACCACCCCAGAAAAGATAAAATGAAGGGGGCCGGGGAGATGGCTCAGTAGAGTAAGTGCTTGCCTGGCAAGGCCAAGGGCCAGAGTTCAATCCTCTGTTCTGCCAAAAAAAAAAAAAAAAAGATAAACTGAAGAATGAAAAGGAAACTCCGGGGCTGGTGAGATGGCTCAGTGGTCTAAAGCACCTACTTACAATAAGCTAAGCAAAGCCCAGGGACCGTGGTTCAATCCTCCAGCACCACATGCCAGCCAGCCCCGCCCCCTGGTGGGCTGAGCTGGCCACATACATACATAAATAAATAAAATTAAAAAAAAAAAAAAAGGAAACTCCGAGTGAGCACACTATGAGACCCAGGAGAAGGCGTCTACTCAGCACTGTGGACCACTGATAAGATTTGAACCCTGTTGCACAGGGACCGGGGTTTGATCCCCAGTGTGCCGTGCCAGTCCCACCCCCAGGGCATGCTGAGAGGGTGACTGAGACTGGGCATGTTGGCGCACACCTGTAAACTCAGCGCTTGGGAGGCTGAAGTCAAGAGGATCACTATGAGTCCGAGCTGAATAATGAGACCTTGTGTACTAAATACTTTAAAAAAAAAAAAAAAAAAAAAGGAAAAGGTTGCCAAGTCAGGTCTCAAAAAGAGGACAGATGAGGCTGTGAGGAGTGGGATGTAGAGCTTGCCGTGAAACCACCAAAGCAATCGCTGGCCACAAGTTTGTAAAAGCCAAAAAGGAGGCTGAAACTTACAGACTGCTCAAGAAAAGGAGAAACTTGCATAGGGCTTTGAAGCGAAGAAGCTGAGAAACCAAGAGCCGCAAGGAGTACATGTCAAAGGCAAAAGATTTATACGCTCTGAAGAGAACCAGAGTACAGGAAGTATGTGTAACTGAGCAGAACACCTCAAGACACATGTGGGCTTCATTTACAGAAAAAAAATTTCTGCTTAGGTCAAAGGTATCAGGAAATTGACAGAAGTAGATAAAAGTAAGCATAAATCTTGGGAGTTGTCCACTTTTTTCCTAAGTTCATTCTACTGAAATAAAAGTATTTTGTTATTTATGTAAGAAATCTAAGCATAAAGGAAAAGATAAGATTTTGTCTACAGACCTACAGTATAAAATCAATATTGCCTTTTTTTCTGTGTGATATAGCGTAGCCTGATCCTTGTACTTTCTTATTTATTCTTGGTGTAACTGCATATTTTCTTTGTTAAATCATTTACTTAGTTAGTTGATACAGGGTCTCACTATGCAGCTCGGACTCTAGTAATCCTCCTGTCTCAGCCTCCCAGCACTGGATTATAGGTGTGTGCCACCATGTCTGGTTTCTAGTGGCCAGTAGGGCATGTGGTACCGGGGATGAAACCCAGGTCCTTCCGCTTGCCAGGCAGGTGCTTAGATTGCTGAACTACCTCTCCAGCCCTAGAATGCTTTTTAAAGATTGGGTTTTGTTTAAAATGGATTAGTCATAAATATAAAAAAAGTCTGTTAATGCTATTTTTCCTGTAATCACCTTAAGGCTATAAATTACCTACATGACTGTAATTACTTCAATGCTATAAAGATTATTATTTAAAAAACAAATTTTAAAGAAAAGAGTAAAAAACAAATAACACGGAGAATAAAGTGGTCCCTTGGGACCCACAGGGGACTGCTCCCAGAACCCAAGCAGACACCAAAATCCTTACATGCTGCGGTTCCTTAAATAAAGTGGCCGAGGATTTGCACAGAAGTCTCACACATCGTCCTGGAGACTCTGCATCACTTCCAGATAACCTCACGTACCAGCGTATTTCCTGAGCAGTTACTGTACGACACCATCTGCTGGAGTTCGGTACAGATGCAACTTTTTTCCTCAGATCCAAACATTTCTGACCACAGCTGACCCCGGCCAAGGGGTGCGGAACCTGCAGAGGAGGGCTGGCTAGGAGCAGGCCAGGCAGGTTCCAGCAGCACCACAGCACCAGCCGCAGCGTTTGTGC